ACTTCTGAACATCACTTGGACTGATTTATACAAAGTGATTGCTGATTCTCTTACTCCTGATTGCTCTTCATTTTAATTTCTTTGTCTTTGTAAATGCTTGGGTGTCAATTGGTTCACCCATCTCAAATATATAATGTGGCATACTATCATGGTCAAGTTTCACATGTTGGCAATTCAGTAGATCTTTGGGGAGCAACTGATTAAGGACATTAAGGAGAACCTGGAAGGGAGTCTTGCTGCACTGTGTCACTGGAAGAAGCTAATGGGGGTTTATGTGTTCATAAAGTGGAGCTGATGGATATTAAACCTCTTGTCAAGAAGGATTTTGACAAAAAGGATGAGGTAAGCTTGTGTAGAGATGGCTTGCCAAAGGTTTACTGGTGTGCAGGGGTGGGTGGTGTTGAAGGCGGCGAATCTTCATAAGCTTTACTGCTTCAGTTGATGGTCTGGGAGGCGATTTGGTCTGATTGTTGCCCATGTTGGCATGGATTCATTGGATGCCCACACTAAATTGGAGCAGACCTCCAGTGCTCATGATGGATCTGGTGAGTTGTGAAAGGAAGTGGAGGGTTTGATGTGAGATTCAGTGGTCGACTCTGGTGAGAAGGGTGGTATATAGGAAACAAATTTGTTTCTAGGAGATATTGGTTTGGGAGTCTTGTCAATGTTTTAAAAGGCATTTGAGGCATACACCTCCAAGTGAGGCACACTTAAAATGCTCTGAGGCTATATGCCTCCTCATCCTCCTCTGAGGTTTATGCTTCTTATGTTCTTAACTACGCCTCATGCCTTTGGGTAGTGGAATGCCTCTGCATTTTAAAGAATTTGTCTGGCTCTTGGGGAACAAATTCATCAAAGAACAAAGAGTTGATAATGATGAGGGGATAGCTTTGGACGATGATACATGTGTTGTATACGGGGGAAGTTAGTCATGGACCAGAAAAGTATGCTTGGATTTGTTTGTAAAATTGAGAAAAGTTCCCCTTTTGTTGGTTTTGAGTGCAAGTTTTCAAGCCTACAAAAATTTTAGAAGTTTGGATGAAAGCAACTGAATCCTTAAGGTGGTTGGATTGCCTGTGGAGGGTGGACTTTGTAGGGCTAAGGTAGATTGAGGTAGATGACGTGCATCTTGATGTAAGGGTAGGGTTTGGAGAAGGATGACTCAACTCAATATCTTTCCGTTGCATTGATTGGTTTTGCCTTGATGGATGTGGGTCAGTGATGGTGTTTCACATATGTCTTTTGTTTTAACAATTCAGTGGAATTTTTTGGATCCCTTCTTGGATGTCTGGTTGTGTTGGAATTGGTGTCTATGTCCTTTCATTTTTGTATTTTCCTTTTGTTTATTTTGTGAGGTTACCAACTATTTGTCTTTTACATTCCTCATATGCCCTGTTAACTTTCTTCTCCATTAATATATTTAATTGCATTGAGAATGTTTATATTGAACTCATCCTTGTGATTAGGTGGACAATTGCTATGACATCACCTTATTTTTCTGGTGTTTTCTAGGATTTTTTTTTCTCATCATTAATTCTGTTTGAAGTGTAGTTATTTATGTCATTTGTGACCTATAGGATTCTACTGCAACAGTTACATCCATCTGGTTCTCTGGTTCTTCATGTTAAAGTTTGTAACTGTTTGGCTTCATGTTACTGCTCCTACTTCTTGGATGGATTTGTCAAATAAAACCTGGATCCCGTGTATAAAAAAGATCCTTTTTTATTGTGGAATTTTTCTATGTTGCCTATATAATGCTAACATTTCTGGTTCTTTAAGTTGGTTAAGGGTTCATTTTTTTTTCTTCGCTGAGTTAAACCCGGTGGTATTGTTGATTGAAAGTGGTTCATTTTTTTTTGGCACGATATTTGCTAATTCACGAAGCAATTCTCTCATTTCCCTTGCTTGCTTCAATGTGATTGATTTATTTAATTCTTTCTGGGCAATTTCCCATATGTGTGAAATCGTTTTTTTCCTGAATTCATGTGAAGTAATGTGTGCACTTTATGTCCTGCACTTTCTTTAAAAATGCTTTTTTTTTCCTATCTTTTTTTCCAAGACCCTATTTTCCTGAACCTTCTCATGGATAAATTTTGTATTGTCCTTTCTATCAGAGGGTCACGGACATGGCTTTCTTTGCTGAGGATGTTCATCTTTTGGCCAGGTTACTCTTTGTTTGTACTCTTAATCTCCTTGATCTGGTTATTATTACAGATATTCTTACTTGCTTTTCTGCAGTGCGAGCATAGATGGCAGAGTTTTTGTGTGGAAGATTAATGAAGGTCCAGATGAAGAAGATAAGCCACAAATTACAGGAAAAATTATTGTTGCAATTCAGATAGTTGGGGAGGGGGAACCAGTACATCCACGAATCTGTTGGCACTGTCACAAACAGGTAAGAATGGGCTCTTAGTATGAACTTTTGAGAAAGAGATTTATAATTTACTATTGGGGTTTCCTTTCAAGGCTTGAAATGGCTGATGTTGTATATCTCTTGATAATAAACTTTCATACTTCATTGAGCTTCTAGTGAACTTATGGAATCTCCTAACATATTATCTACAAACTATGATTGCAGGAAGTATTGGTAGTTGGTATTGGAAAACGTGTGCTGAGAATTGATACAACAAAAGTTGGAAAAGGAGAAGTGTTCTCTGCGGAGGAACCTCTTAGATGTCCTGTTGATAAGCTGATTGATGGAGTCCAGTTGGTTGGTAAACATGATGGAGAGGTTACCGAGTTATCGATGTGCCAATGGATGACCACCCGTTTAGCTTCAGCATCAACAGATGGCACGGTCTGTATACATTGCTCTTGATATTTACTAGTTGTTTTTTGTGGTATGCTTTCGGTTTCTTCCTAGAGCAGTAGCCTGTATTGAGTTGCAAGCTGTATTTACTTCTAATTTAGAAATCATGTGATTAATCAACATCTGATTGATAGAATGGATTAACTGTTAGGCATATTCTATTTGAAAATCTTGTATCATTTTTGTGACCAGGGATGAGGTGAGAAAAGTTACAGAAGGATGTGATAAAATCTGGTTTTGTGAAAATTTCTGTGGGAGGTCTATCATTAGTTTTTGCCATTAATTAAGTTTTGGCATGGGCCATGTCAGTGATTTAATAGGTATCCCTCAAGTGTGCCTTCGCATACAGACGAGGTGCATTTTAGGGTCTGTGCCTTGCCGAGATCCTAGGTGCAGCAYTTTCAAAAGGAGCGCACCTGATGTGTCTGGTGCGCCTTGCCCATCAGCCCAGATGTGTGCCTTTTGAAAATCTGTGCATTTTTTTTTCTGTTTTATTTTTGTGCTTAGCAGTTGAGCCCCCGGACCCCCGACCGCCGGACAACAGAGAACCCCATATTTGTTAATGTTGCTAATCCATTCATCCTAATAAGAGATATTTTTAAAAGACACTTAAAATTATAAAACCTTTTTTTATAGGGGTTAAGAATTTAAGACCTTGATATGGATTTGTTTGGTCTTGCCTTGGGGGACTTGTACAATTTTTTTTTAATTTTCATTTTGAATATGTTTTACATGTTTATGCATTTTAGTTCGAGATAATAGTTTTTTTAATATTTATTTTGAAATTTAAGCTTATGTTTTTAATTAATAATGCGTTTAATATTTTTAATATTTTGCATTTTGAAAAATTTTGTTTTTTTTTGAAATTTTAGCATTTTTGTGCCTTGCTTCAAAAGGCATGTAGTTCGCCTTGTGCCTCATGTCTCCCGCAAAATGGCCCTTTTAGAACACTGGGTATCTTAATGATTGTGTTTGAGTTGTAAGCTATTGCTTGAATAATGTTGGATACAAATGAAATGGTGAATTCCATAATGGCAGGTTTTTGCTTTTCTGTTTTTTCTTTTTTTTTTGTGCACCACCCGTAATCTTTGTTAATCTACTAGTAAGGTTGCATGTGTTTTGATGTTGATAGTAAATAATATGTTTCCAAAATTTTCTACAAATTTTTTATATTTCTATGTCTATAATAACTATTCTTATTTGTCACACTTATTTTTGTTTAATATGATGAATAGATATTAGAGATGCACCCAACCCAAATGTTTTCTATATTTTTTTTTTGTGTTTTTTACACTTTTGTGTGTTTTCATCTTCTTTTTTTTTTTAATTTTAGTTATTAACTATGGCATCAAGGGTTGACACGTTTTGACCCAAAAGATTGATTTGTTGACTTGCCATCAAACAGGAAAATAATTCCAATTTGGGGTTGGTTTCAAAATTTGTATTTTATTTCTGTTATCTATTATTAATAAAAAATTCTTTGTCACACTTATTTTTCTTTAATATGGTTATTTAATATATATGATTCAATGAAAGAATTGGAGTTGATAAAACCTAAATATAAGATTTAATGAATGGGAATTGAATGAAGAGAAATGTAGTAGTTCAAATTACATTTTGTGCTGCCCTCACAATTAGAGAAAGACCAAATTCAAAAACAGGGGTATTTAGTCAAGACTTAGGCTTAACGAGAGTTAAAAATTCAAAAATAGGGGTACTAGTGAGAGTTAATGCCTTAGATATTAGACTTAGGCCAAGTTTGAGAGTGCTTATTTGAAAAATAAGTGCTTATTCTAATAAGCACTTACGAGTGTTTGGTGAAAAAGTAGTTATTTTAATTTATCAAAAAAAAGTCGCTATTTTAAGTAGGGATAGTAAAGGTATTTTTAAGATGACATGGTGGGCCAAGATAGGCCAAAAAAGAAATAAGCACTTAAAAATAGCCCAAAATTTGGGCTTTTTAAATGAGTGCTTATTTTCACTTATTTTGGGCTTATTTTCCAAACACAAATAAGTGTTTATTGGTGCGGTTCTGGCCCAAAATAAGTGCTTATTCAAATAAGCACTTGTTTTTAAGCACTCCCAAACTTAGCCTTAATGAGAGGAATTTGAATGAGGAGAAAAGTGGTTGTTCAAATTGCATTTTTGTCCTTACAATTAGAGTGGGACCAAGTTTAAAAGTTGGGGTATTTTAGTCAAACAAAAGTTCCACACTCTCATTTACACTTTTAATAGTAGTATTTATTGATAGATATCAAGGGGTTGTATTGGTTGCATTTAAATATGAAAGTTTAAATGAAGCTGTGAAGCAATGCTGGCCAGAAAATTTCTGTTGTGTCCATTGAAAATATTTAAGAATATGTTCTTTTAATCTAATATAGATGCTCAACTAACTTTTACTTTTTGGGGAAAGTTAGCCTGGAATTTCTGGTACTGTTGTTGAGAAATGCAGTCTTCCTTGGTTTACAGAAGCTTGTCCTGCTAAAAGAAATGTTAAGATTTCTTTATTGGTATTGATAAATTATCTTCTTGACATTTCTTTTTTTTTTTTTTCTTTTAAAGCTTTCCATTTATTTCTTTTTTATTTCCTGTGTTTCAGAACCACACAAGCTCTTGATTTTTTTTATTTTGCCTTATGATACCTATCTTGTGTAACAGGTAAAGATATGGGAAGACCGTAAGACATTACCCCTTGTGGTACTAAGGCCACATGATGGGCAACCAGTTAACTCGGTTACATTCGTAACTGCCCCTCACCGGCCAGATCACATTATTCTCATCACAGCGGTACATTCTCATTTCATCTTTTATTTGTTAATGTAGTTCTTAATATTAAGTTTCATACTTTACACTTTGCCTAATTAATATTGATTCACAAATTTTTTTTTTTTTTCTATCTTGTTTTTTGCAGGGACCACTGAACCGGGAAGTCAAGATGTGGGCATCAGCAAGTGAAGAAGGCTGGCTGTTGCCTAGTGATTCTGAATCATGGAAGTGTACTCAGACTCTTGACTTAAAGAGTTCTGACGAACCTAGACTTGAGGAGGCATTCTTTAATCAAGTAGTAGCATTGCCACGTGCAGGGCTTCTTTTACTTGCAAATGCTAAGAAGAATGCTATATATGCTGTACACATAGAATATGGTCCATGCCCTTCAGCTTCCCGCATGGATTATATTGCTGAGTTTACTGTCACCATGCCTATTCTCAGTCTTACTGGAACAAGTGATTGCTTACCTGATGGAGAACAAGTTGTTCAGGTTTACTGTGTTCAAACGCAGGCTATTCAACAGTATGCTCTGGACTTGTCCCAGTGCTTACCACCACCATTGGAGAATATTGGGTTAGAAAAGACAGATTCAGGTGTTTCTCGTGCTCTAGAAGCACCTGCTTCAGATGGGTTCACACTGGAGCCATCGCTTGGGAGTACATCTGTTGAATCAACTGTAGAAGGAAGCACAGGCCCCAAACCTGCCACACTGGTAAGCAGTACTGAGAGTGCACCTGCTTCTAAGTATCCTGTGACTCCAGATTCTACTGAAGTTCATAGCTTGCATGAACTGACTACTCCGAGTATGGAATCTAAGCCAACTTCCTTACTGGCAACAACTTCTGATGCTGATCACATCCGTGTTGCCTCACCACCACTTCCTTTGAGTCCTAGGCTGTCTGGAAAACTGTCTGGTTTTAGAGGTCCATCTAATAACTATGAGCCTGGTCCCTCTCTTGGTGATCGTAGTGGAGACCAGTCAGTTCTTGATTATTCAGTTGATAGGAGAGTGGATAATGTTCTTCCAAGTTTGGCCGATGTTCCTTCCTTGGATGACACTACCAGGAAGGACGAAAATAAAGTTGCACAAAATGATATTTCTATGGTACCTAATCCTCCAATGATGTTCAAACATCCTACCCATTTGATTACTCCTTCTGAGATTCTATCAATGGCTGTTTCATCTTCTGAGAGTACACAGGTCAGTCAAGGCATGAAAAGGGGAGAGTCAAAGGTTCAAGACGTGGTTGTCAACAATGATGTGGAGAGTGTTGAGGTGGAGGTTAAAGTTGTTGGTGAAACTGGACCTAGTCAGAACGACGATTTTAACCCTCAGAGAGAAACCCACATTATTGTTGCAGAGAAAAGGGAGAAGTCCTTTTGCTCCCAGGCTTCTGATATTGGTGTTGAAATGGCTAGAGAGTGTCATGCTTTGTCCACTGAAACTTTTAACTTGGAGGAAACTCGACAAGTTGATGATGCTAGTGTTACTGAAGCCTTGGACCGAAGTTCAAATGCTGGTGAGGAAGAGGCCCAAGATTCCACAAAGGATGTGCATGGAAAAGTTGCTGAATCGGCTGCAGCTACAATCGTTCCACAGTCCCCAGCACCGGCTACAAAAGGCAAAAAACAGAAGGGAAAAAGCTCTCAAGTTTCTGGTCCATCTTCCCCATCTCCAAGTCCTTTCAATTCTACAGATTCTTCTAATGAACCTGGTAGCAGTTCAAGCGTTCCTTCTACAGAGGCTGCCTTTTCTCAGATTCTGGCTATGCAGGATATGCTGAACCAGGTGATTGTTTTGATGTTTCCTTGTGTATTTTGTTCTGCATGCATTATTTTCTAGAAGATTGCATCGTCAAGACTTGTGAAAGCAAATGTTTCTTAAAATTTTCATGGCAAGGACTCTGGTCATCCTGTTAAGTAATGAAGTGATACTTGGTGTACTTGCAGTATGCAAAGCATTGTTTCCCATGTTCGATTTGTATTATTTAATGGGGATTTTTAATGCATTCCATCTTTTCCTTCTACTGTTAACTCTTTACTTTGTTTTTCGTTCACAGCTAATGGCCATGCAGAAGGAAATGCAGAAACAGCTCCCGGTGGTGGTGGCTGTGCCAATTACTAAAGAAGGCAGAAGACTTGAGGCAGCCCTTGGCAGGAGTTTGGAGAAAGTTATTAAAGCCAACACTGATGCTCTATGGGCTCGTTTCCAGGAGGAGAATGCAAAACATGAGAAGCTAGAACGGGAGCATCTACAGCAGATAACCAATTTGATCACCAACTCTATGAACAAAGATTTGCCAGTTCTTCTAGAAAGAACATTGAAGAAGGAAATAACTTCAATAGGACCAGCTGTAGCTCGTGCTATTACCCCAGTTGTGGAGAAAGCAATTTCTTCAGCTATAACCGAGTCATTCCAGGTTATTACTCTTGAAAGAAATAGCTTTTTTACCCAATCCTGTGAAAGCCTTAGAGCAGTGGTCCTGGCTGGTTTCTTAGGTGCTTGCAATGTGGGTTATTAGGAGGCTGGATATTAGGAATTTACTTTGACTCAAAACAAAGTCTATAGTAGTTAAACTTTACTTGCTGCATTAGCTATTTTTTATCAGAAACTTAAAATTTATTTATACTGTTTAAGAAAATACACATGTGCTACAGAGTGAGTCCCAGTGCAGTACATCCCTTGGATCCTAAACCTAGCTATGGAGTCAGCAATTTGATTGGATATGATCTTCTAATCCATTGCAATAGGTAGCTGTTATCTGATTGTGCTTCCCTTAGGGACGCCTTTATATCTGTGGACCTTCATCATACCCCCAAAGGTAACTACTGACACCAAATTTTCCCAGGTTACCATAACAACCATCAAAGTTTCATTTGATGTTCCTGGAAGGGGAGCCCATTGCTGTATCGGAGTGTCCAATTGTTCCAATGATGATGCAACCATCACCCAATTCCTTACTATATCATCAGTGAATAATCTGAGTTCCCTTCTTTGTGCATACCCAGTGAGCTACTCAAACTTTGACAAAGTCAGTCAATGTTTCACTGTCTATTGATTTCCAGAAAAAAWTTGGTATTTCATTCTTCCCAAGTAGTGCACAACACCCTTGCCATCTAGCACCTCCATAATATCTTACCCAAGCCAATTTGAATCAAATGATCCAGAAACATATTGTGGTAAGGTACACCCATCTCCAAATAATTGCACATATTTTGCATCTAATGTTATATGATGACTTGATCCATGCAATAATTATACCCTACAAAGTAAATAGTTTGAAAATACTATAATTAGAATGTATGTGTATTATGTAGGTTTGTATGCTGTGCCTGCGTGAATCCATAAGCTTATGTAGGTTTGTATGGGAAAACCATAACAAACTACTTGGTTTCCAGATTTCCCACCTTGACAGCTTTGGTTTTAGGGCCTGGGCTCCGTATCCTAGGTGCTAGGCACTATGTGGTTTATGATCACCCTTTTACTTCTCTCTCTCTCTCTCCATCTAGTTCTCYGTGCATGTTTATGTGTGGTTTTAGTTGKTCGTGTCTGTCTTGAATCTGATAATTGCTCGTTGTTGTGCAGAGAGGGGTAGGAGATAAGGCAGTGAATCAGCTAGAAAAGTCATTTAGTTCAAAACTTGAAGCTACATTGGCCAGACAGATCCAATCACAATTTCAAACTTCGGGCAAGCAAGCTCTTCAGGTAGGTGAAAGTTCACATGGCTGAAGTATTTTCTTTGATTGTACTGGTATACAACAAGTACCATTTTAGGTTCTTGAATGCAGTTTTTAACGTCAGCTTTTTGAATGATAAAATAGTCAGTAGCATTCTATGCACCTAGAGAAAGAGTAAACTGCTATTCTATTTAATTATTTTTACTAGTTCTTAGTCCTTTCTTGTTATTCTGCAGGATGCATTAAGGTCTAATTTGGAAACTTCAGTTATTCCAGCTTTTGAGATGTCTTGCAAAGCCATGTTTGAGCAAGTTGATGCTGCATTCCAGAAAGGAATGGGTGAACATACAACTGCAGCTCAAAAGCAGTTTGAGTCTGCACATTCCTCATTGGCACTTACTTTGAGGGTATGTCGTACTATACAATTTCATGTCTGTTCTATACAACATATTAATATATTATAGATATTTTTCAAATCTAACCTTGTTCTTTCTAGGAGGCTATTAACCTTTTCATAGATTTTTTTCCCCTTGAAACTGATAATGCTTCTTTGTCATGGCAGAAAGCTTCCATGAAAAATTATAGATATTGCAAGAAAGTGAAATTGTAGGTGTATAAAAATAAGAAATGTCTTTCCTAGCATATTTTCTAACAGTGTCATTAACCGTGTACTATGCTAGAGAACTGGCTTCTCGCCTTGCCTAATTGCCAAACAGTTTTATAATTGTGTTATAAAAAACTTTTATATTCTTAATTTTGTTGAGATTATAATTATAAAATAGACATTATTAATCTAAAATATTCATTTTGTGTGTTTATATACTAATTTCTTTTTATTATTTTCTTATTTGTTAGTGTTTAATCAACACAGACATTGCTAAATGCTGTATTGAGCCCTCAAAGACTTCAAAACCTGAACCAGCACAGGCATTTTGTCTAATCAACACATTTTCTTCTTCCACATCTTCTTCTTCTTCTTCCACCTTTTCTTTTCTTCTTTTCCTATAACAAAAATAGGGGTTCAACCCCCATATTTTTTGAATTTTCTTTTCTTTCTTTCTTTCTTCTTCTCATGAATATGTTGATTTTCTACACTTAAACATGAAGTTTATACTTTTCTTATGAAAATTATGGATAATTATTAAGGAAATATGAAACACAGAGAAATTCCATAAATATATTAATAATACCAAATTTAAAATCAAATAACCGCAAATAATGTATAAATACCTAGTAAATGTATATTTTAATGGTATGTATGAAAAAAATATATTACAATTAATATGTCAAGATGCATAAATATTATACAATTTTATAGATAATGCATCAATCAAGAGTTGAAGACACATAAAATATGTACATATTTTATTTTATTTATTATATCAATTATTTTCTATTTTACTATTTGTTACTTTTTTACATTAAAAAAAGTCAACAAATATTAAATTCTCAAATGTAAATTAAAATATCAATTAATAATTTATAAAAATATATAATCTCAATTTAAAATATTAAATATATCAAATTTGTTAAAATTTCTAAGATATATATAGCACTTAAAAATTAAAAATTATATATTATATATAAGTTGTAGATTCTTAATTGCTAATATAATTATTACATTATTAGTATTTTTGTTTTATAGTTTTTCTAAAATTAAAAACCACATTTGGTATAAATTTTAATTGGTAGAATTGATAGATTCTATTTAAATAWTATATTCCCAAATATTTTGTAAACATTTTTTTTGTAAATATTTAATATGTTGTTATTTAATGTGAGGTAAATTAAAATATTAATTAATAATTTATATAAATGTTAATTTTAAGTATTAAAATAATTATTCTATTATTAATAATTTTATTTGCATACATTTCTTGAGATCAAAATCATTTCTTGATTTTAATGTGAATTTGATAGTTTATTTATTTGGTTGTTGCATTAGTTTATAAAATAACAATTTTTAATATTATTCTTTTAATTTTTAGTAGGAATTGTTAAACATAAATATGTGTTATTTAATAGGATTACATGTAGTATGTACATGCATTATTTAATAAAATTAATTGTAWTTCAATAATTAACTTGAGAGCCAAGTTGGACTAATGGTTTAGGGGTGAATTAGAATTGCATAACGTGCAGTGAGACTCAGGTTCGAATCGCCCCTTCCTAAGGTTCAAAGTATCGATACGCCCCTGTGTATCAGTAGGGGCGTATCGGTACTAAAAACTAACTGCTTAATTTTTTTTAGTTTTTTTTTTCAAAACTTGATTTTTGGAAATGTTTTTTAAGTCTTTTTATTGAAATAAATGGGGGTCCCAAAACACCTGTAAATAGGTGTATCGAGACCAAAATATACGATACGATACGCTCGTATCAGGGTGTATCATATCGATACTTTGAACCTTGGCTTCCTCAAAATCTGCTTTTAATAAAAAGGCACGGCCGTGCGGCGTATCGGTCCGTATTGCATTGTATCGGACCGATACACATCGATATGGGCCGATATGCACCCGTATCGACCCGATACGCATGACCGGAGGAATACACTTACAGTTGTGACGTACCGGGTAGGGTCGATAGCAATAAGATACGCCTCGTATCGGGCGTATCAGATCAATATTTAAATCCTTTGTCCATTCATTTTGGGCTTGTTTGTAATTGCTTTTTCTATTATTATGCTTATCCTTGGGAAGGGTTAAGAGAGTTTACCCCTTCTCTAGGAGGCTGTAATTGATGTACTTTGTTTCATTAATAAAATTTCTGTTACTGATCAAGGAAAAAAGTCCAGTGCCTAGACAACTAGGTGACAAGGCACCCCCTTGTCGCGTAGCTTCACCTTGGTGTCTTGAAAACTATGCCTATGAACATATAAATTAATCAATTTTAGGGTTATACGAATTCTGGTTCTAGATGGGAAAATTGAGTAAAGGTGTGCTTGTATGGTACTAAGGAATGGTGTGGGAATGGAGAATTTGCTAGTTCAAGGGGTGAATGTCACAAAGGGCCATGTCTGATGATTTGTTAGAGGGTTTCATGGTGGGGGAATGGAGAATTTGAATCTGAGGCCATGGCAGTGGGAGAGGTGGAGAATTTGAATCAATGGGCTGAAGAATGTGGCATACGACCAAAATACTTGGGAATGCCTTTGGGGTCCAAGTGCTACAGCAAGTCTGTTTTGGGAACCAGTGGGAGAGTGTATGGAAAAGAAACTAGAAGCATGGTAATCAAGATATTTGTATAAAGGGGGAAAGCTAGCTTTGGTGAAATAATCTTTGTCTTCTCTGCCAATGTATCTTCTCTCACTAAAGCATGGTAATCAAGACTTTTCAAGATATTTGAAAAGTCTTCTTTCACTAAAATATGGATCTGGAAAGTTTATATCTGATTAATAGATTTTCTACTTTTGCTTTTTCTACTACTTTCAGCAAACCCTTGCTTTGCATAAAAGTGGGCTACTGTACAATATCAAATTCAATGATTTTAACACTTTTTTGAGATTGCTTTCAATTGACAGAATTCCATAAACTTGATTTTACATCTGCTGGGTGATTGAGATAGGCTCCTGGGTGATTCGATTGGCCCTTTGTATTCATATGTTTTTTCTTGGCACAAGTTCCATTATTTTACCACCCTCTAAACATGTTTTATTTCTTTTGTTTTTTTCTAAAAACATTCCTTTTATTGTAATTTTGTATCTTTACTGTTTTAGGGTCCTAGTTTGATTAAGAAGTGTCCTTTCATTAAAATATGGCATCTTGGAAAGTTAAGTCTGATTAAGTGATCTACTATTTTTAGTAAATCTACTATTTTCAGCAAAGCCTTGCTTTGCATAAAAATGGATCACTGTACAATATCAAATTCAATGAATTGAATACAGTTTTCTTTGGATTTCATTACTTTCTCTATGAGAATATTTTGGCAAGAGGACAGTGATCTTTCATTGTCTCCTTGCATTACTTGCACCAAAGGGCAATTATCAGATATTATCTTGTGAATTCTTCAAAAGGCTCAGTGCTACATTAACTATCCAGTCAATATAAAGAACATCTTTCTTAACCATAAGGGCCGAAATCAAGGAAGACTATAAGAGCCACCTGTAATTACCCCATGGTTGTGTAGATTTGCAATGAACTTAAGAAATAACAAAAAAAAAAAAAACGAGACAAGAATATGGGGAGTTGCAATCAAATCCCAAAGCTTTTAACAGACTGTGCTTAATGGACATGTGCTTTAGTGCTACTTAGACATCTGCTGGGTGATTTAGTAGCCAGCCCTTAGGGTATTTGAGTTGCAGGTTTGGATTCATTTGCATTTTTTCAGGCCAAAATTTCATTTTCTCGGAAGTCACTTTTCATTGAAATATCATTCTCTAGATAGTTTAAGAAGAATAAAGATGCATAACATTAGTTGAAAGSGGGGGTCTTGTCGAAAAGGGGGCGAAGCCCCCCAACCGAAGGGGTAGGGGGCAAATCACTTTCTTTCCCCTTATCTTTTCTTCCCTTCCCTTCCCTTTTCTTTTCTTTCCTTTTCTCTTTTTTTCTTCTCTTTCTTTTTCTTTCCCTTCCCTTTCTTTTGCTTTCCTTTCCTTTTTTTTTCTTTTTTCTTTTTTTGTCTTTTTATATAAGATGTGCATGAGGCGTGCACCTCTTACACCTGAGGCATATGCCTCAGAGGCATAGTTGTCAAGGCGACTAGGCGACAAGGCGCCCTTGGAGGCTCACCTCGCCCAGTCACCTAGCAGTTTTGTATACTGTCTTATAAAATACTTTTATATTGTTACTTCTTTGAGATTATAATTATTTAATAGACATTATTAAACAAAAATATTCATTTTTTTGTGTTTATAAACTAATTTCTTTTTATTATTTTCTTATTTGTTAGGGTTTAATCAACACAAGCATTGCTAATTGCTGTATTGAACCCTCAAAGACTTCAGAATTTGAACCAATAAGTAAGGGAAAGACTTAAAAAGTTCTGTCTAATCAACACATTTCTTCCTCCACATCTTCTTCTTCTTCTTCTTTTTCTTTTTCTTCCACCTTTTCTTTTCTTCTTTACATATAACAGAAATAGGGGTTCAGTCCCCATATTTTTTGAATTTTCTTTTCTTTTTTCTTTTTCTTATAAATATGTTGATTTTCTAGACATAAACATGAAGTTTATAATTTTCTTATGAAAATTACAGATAGTTATTAAGGAAAGATGGTTATGGAACCTAGGGAACTACCTAGGATATGTATTTTTCACTTAAAAAAATCCATCGCTGTCACCTAGGCGCCCGCCTAGGTGACTAGGCGACAAGGCGCCCCCTGTCGCCTAGCCTCGCCTTGGTGCCTTGAAAACTATGGTCAGAGGTGTCAGCGCCTCTGGCATACGCCTCAGGGCATTTTGGGAGCACCTTGACTAGGCGACAAGGCGCCCCCCTGTCGCCTAGCCTCGCCTTGGCGCCTTGAAAACTATGCTCAGAGGTGTCAGTGCCTCTGGCATACGCCTCAGGGCATTTTGGGAGCGCCTCGCCTGGAGGTGCGCCTCCAGGTGTATGCCTCCCACGCCTTTTAAAACACTGCTTATAACCAACCAAACAAAGAGAAATCAAATAAAACCACTGATTAACATTCTCAATAACTACACACACTGAAACAACCTTTTAAACAAAAAGGCCAAATAAAACAACACAAGTAGGATGCGGAGTACTTGATAATGTACAAAAGATCTCTTAAAAAGGCTCCCTTCATTGACTTATTCGTGCTGTTTGATGAGAAACCAATGGCTGGCTAGCCTCCATTGGACCTCAATATGGCGGGTTCAGTATCCATGGTGAAGATTTGACATTTCTCAATCCTAACCTGATTATTCTCATACCATACCCATCCCAATAGGGGCGTTACGGGATACCTGATTAGCCTACCTTATTGGACTTAGTGCCTCTATCAAAATTTAACTGGAATTAGAAACTAAGAAATGAGTACCTGAGGAGCAAGCTCCCACAACACTGAACTGATGGAGCAAGGTCCTGCAAGTCCATTTACTAAAGTTAACTTTTCAAATTAACTATGAGAGGTCTCTACCTATTAATAACACTATAAGAGGATCGTATTTGTGGACTTAAAATTGGGGTCCGGACCTAAACTTAGGCTCCTAAGTTGTTCCCAAGCAACTGTAAATTACGAAATAAGTCTAATTTATTAACCAAAAAAAAATAAATTACGAAATAAGTATAGGACAAAAAGCTGACCCAAACTATACTAACCAAATATTATGAATCTGCCACTGACTTGGAATAAATGGGCATAATTTGTTTCTTCTCTCAAGGTCTCTTTCCCTTTCTTCACATCTGCATTGGTGTACCTTATTACCTGAATGGTTTTCTGGCCTATCTTATAAAAGGCCATTACTCTATGTTGGTCCCAGCTATCTGGGGTAGTGGTAGTGGGAGTGGTGGACTGGATATAAACCTAACCCCCGAGTCCCTGACATTTTTTTTGGAGCAAAGTGGTTGGTTTTAGACTCAAACCTGCATTCTCATGCTTGTCAGCCCTAGATTCTTCCATCATATGAAGCAATGGTAGGTTCTGCTTATAGATTTACCTAAAATCAAGTTGTTGGTCACTTCCTTATGATAGGTTCTGTTTGTTTGTATGTTTTGTTTTGGAGGTGCCAGGGTCGTTTGATGTGTGTAATGGTGCATTAACTTCATCTTGTATTGTTGATGGTGTTTTGCAGGATGCTATTAATTCAGCTTCATCAATCACCCAAACCCTAAGTGGGGAATTTGCTGATGGCCAGCGCAAGCTCTTAGCTCTTGCAGCTGCGGGGGCTAACTCAAAAGCTGTAAATCCTTTGGTTACGCAATTAAGCAATGGACCTTTGGGTGGTCTGCACGAGATGGTATTTTACTATTTTGGTCCATCAAATAGATGCCTACTTATAGAATTTTGTAAGATTCTGGAAAGCCATCTTATGGCATTTCTGACTTGAACATGCAATGCCTGTGCAACAGGTTGAAGTGCCATTGGATCCAACCAAAGAACTCTCAAGGTTGCTATCTGAGCGCAAATATGAGGAAGCTTTCACTGCAGCACTGCAAAGAAGTGATGTCTCTATAGTGTCCTGGTTATGTTCTCAGGTATGCTTTATATCCACAAACATATTGCATGCACATTTCTTCATAAATTATCCATTTATGCATGCGAAGGATGAGCTAAAAAGCTATTGAGGATGGGGTCAGAAATGAAGACATTAGCAGGAACCTAGGAGTAGCATGTGTTTTCATTTATGCATGAGAAGCATGAGTTGAAATACTTCAAATGATAGGGTCAGAAATGAAGTCATTTGGAGGAATCTATGAATAACTCCAATAGGTGATAAAATGAGAGGAAGTAGACTGAGATGGTTTGATCATGTATGTGGATATAAAGGACCATTGAGAGCACCTATAAGAAGTGATTTGTTGCAAGTAAGAAATGATGGAAATTTAAATGCTCATAATGCAAGGTGTCAACCAGCTGGGTTGGTAAGGTCTCTTGCTGGTTGTAGTGGAGACTTGGGATTGAATCCTGCCTGCACCTGGGTTGGGGGATGGGCTACCCTCCGTTGTATAGCCCTTCAGAAGATATAAAAAAAAATAATAAATGCTCATAATTTAACAATGGATATGACATCAAAACAGAATGGAATGGTGAAACAGGATTCATGGAACCTACCCATGGTTGGGATAAGGCTTGGATGATAATGATGATCCATTTATGCATGAGTTCATGTACACATGCATACAGATCCTAATTGTATTACCACCATGATTTCTTCCATAGATTTGTTGATATAAGATGCTAAGATGAAAGAAGGAAAATTTCAAATGGTCATGGATCCTTGAACAGAATGAACTTTTTGGTGGGTCACTCGAGGATTTGTTAAATCTCCATAGTAGCAGGTAGTGGCGTGTAGCAACATGGCTCTTACCACAATCTTGTTACATTACTTTTCATGTGCATACCTGTAAATTACCTTTAGTTTCCTTTGCACGTGTATTAATATCTGTATGTCCTAGTTGCTAAGGCATCTAGGCAGGCAACAGTGGAGTTTYTAGTCACCTAGGTGCCTAGGTGGGCACCTAGGTCATAAAAGTTTACAAAGAAGAAACTGGGTGTTGAGTTAGTTCCCTAATATCGCATACCAATGAAAAAGTGGCAATGCTATTTCTAATAAGATTAGTTTTCCTCTCAAAACAGAACAAACCGTTTTATCTTAGAGACTGGCATTGTAATGTAGGAGAGAGCAAACTTCTATGTTTTATTTTAAAATTCTTAAATAAAGCATAAATAATATATAATATGTGATAGGATATATTAATATACATGGTAATGAATAATAATGTGTAGCCATAATAATAATTTAGCCATTTATCTGTCTGCATTGTCTCCATGTTTATAACCTCACTGAACAGCTTGGCTGTTTAATAATGCACTCTCCACAGCATCTCCAATCCTAAAGCCCTACGTGCCTCCATCTTTTCTAAAGCCACTTTTTAATCAGTAACTGGACTCCTTGATACTTGCATCCGCTCCTGCACTCACAGCATCTCCAAACCTTGATACTTTCTTTTGGATAACACTATGACTTAGCATCAATGAGATGACACTAATAACCGTCTCTCAAGATTTTTTTGTTAGGGTTTCTTTTAATTTTAACAATCAGATTCAGATATACCTGATTGCTTTTTCTAATAAATAAACTAACTCATGGACAAGCTATAGATGTCAAGGTATCCCCTAGGTGATAAAAATGCACAAGTTGGGCTGATGGGCTCCTTTATTTATTTATTTCTTTTGAAGGGCTACACAACAGGGCTTAGCCCATCCCAAAACCCAGGTGCAGGCGGGATTCAATCCCAAGCCTCCGCTACGCCCAGCAGGAGACCTTACAAATCATGTAAATTTTTGGGAGGTCTATCTGATGAATTGTCGTCAAAGGGAAAAACTTGTGATTTGTATTCTAGAGGAAGTCGGATTGGTGTTTGCTTGACATTGCTGATAAGATCTAAATATATAACCATGACCATCGTTCATATTTTGAGAGTTTCAAGTTTTTCTTTTTTGAATGGTATATTTTTAGATCCCTTGCATGTAATTTTAATCTCACTTCAGAGGAATATGAAGTTGTAGAGTAATAGAGGGATGTATAATTTCAAGACAAGGTGGAAAAGACATTTGGAATATATTTTAGGCAAAGACAGAAGTAAAAAGGGAAGGGGAGGGAGGGGGCGTGAGATTTATGGTCAGGAAGTTCCTTGTAAGGACCTTTTTGCTCTATTGTCTGAGCACAACAGAACTTATCAAATTAACTGAGGTAATGCTTTATACAAAAGTTGTAGAGCAGTTGCAGTTTAACATAAGAAGCCTTGGATGGAGGGAAATGACAAAATGAACTGTGTTGCTGTTCGGACAGTTCTTGAATATCTTTTTTCAGCATTTTCATTTATTTAGTTTTTTACAGATCAAAAGATGTCTATTAATATGACTCCCACCACTTAACCATGAGCTTCCTTGATAAACATTTTAAATTACTTTTAACCACCGAAGTCCATGCTGCGTGAATAGTTGGTCAAAACAATGCTGCTTTGATGCCTTCCTCGTTACAGTGTTTTTCATTTTTTTTTTTTAAATTTTTATATCAGAATTGCCTATTATAGCATTCATCTATTTTAACGATTTCTGTGTTGTCAGGTTGATTTTAAGAGTATATTGTCGATTGTGCCTCGTCCTTTGAGCCAAGGAGTTCTGCTTTCTCTTGTTCAGCAGTTGGCCTGTGATATCAGCAAAGAGACCCCTCGGAAGCTGACATGGATGACGGATGCGGTTATTGCCATCAACCCAACGGATTCAATGATCGCAATGCATGTAAGGCCCATCTTCGAGCAGGTCTATCAGATACTAGCCCATCACTGCACCATGCCCACTGTAAATGCTGCCGATGCTGCAAGCATTAGAGTTGTCATGCACGTCATCAACTCCATGTTGATGAGCTGTAAATGATTGGTTTTCTTTCTCGGCGTCATTACTCGTACAACGTTGGTTGTGTAGTGGCCTAGTGGGGGGGACTGTAAGAGGGTTGTATAGACACTATAGAGAAGTAGGAATTTCTGAATGGGATAATTTTTACTGCATAGGATTATAAATGTGATTATGTAAAGTAGATTAGTTTAAGATGTGCGTCTCATCTTTTCCTTTTTTCCCCTCTTCTTTTTTTTTTTTTGTTTTTTCCTTCTTTTTCTGTCCGATGTTTGTATTACTTTTCCTATTGAAAGAAATGAATTCCACCAGAACTGGGATTTTCTCTCCCCATCTCTTGTTAATTGTGTATTTTCTCTTTCTTTCTTAGTTTATGAATATCCATAGAATAAGATGATTCATTTCATTTGCAGCCTTCTCATACTGTTGGTAACTTGGTCTGTCACCATTTTAATTTTGATGAAACAAACTAATCAGTTGTAGAAGTTTTCATAAACCTTCATCTGTGAGTGTTATGGGTTATTGTCAAATAGGAATGACCAACGGGGCAGGGCCTGGTTTTGCCTGCTCCATCCCGGCCCGCCCCGTCCCTGCTCTAAACCCGACTGGGGTTAGAAATTCTAGCCCCATCTCCAATCCCGTGGGGAATGGGGATTCTCAAAATTTCCCCACCTTTCCCCAGTAATTCCTACTGTATACTTAAATTTTTTTTTTTAATTTTTTAAAAATTATTTCTCCCATCCATGTCAGATGCCACATCATTCAAAAATAATCGAAATTGGCCTGAAGAAAATCATCAAATTTGCTGATGTCTATTTTTAACTCGACTTTAATAATCGTTTTCTAACTAATTTGAAAAATCTACCAACCAAACACTAAAATAACCAGCTACTTTTGAATCATAAAAACAATTGCTGACATGGCTATGATGTGGTGTCGATTTTTGAATTGACATTGGTCCTGTACTGGTCCTTATTTGAAGAGAAAATTCCTGATCAGTGCCCAGTATTTTGGCTCAAGTGACAATTTAGTTTTCCAACTTTTAAAATGTGATAATTTAGTACCCAAATTTTCAAAATGGGACAATTCAATACCTGACGTTAACAAATCCGTTTACCAGTTGTTAAGTGATATTTGAAAAGTCAAAAATGCACTTCGAGTGCCATCTAATTCTCTTTATCAATCATCTAAACATTGACAATAGAATAAATAGTCCCAAATTCTAAATTCTTCCAAACAATCACCAACTATTTTGAATATAAGATAAGAGACTAGGATTTGGGACTGTTCAGAACATTTAGATGGTTGATATAAAAAATTAGATGGTACTCAAGGGACATTTTTGACTTTTCAAATATTACTTAATGATTGATTAACGACTTATTAAAATTGTCCATTTTGAAAATTCGAGTGCTGGATTGTCACTAGAGTCAATCCAATATTGAATTATCGCATTTTAAATTTCGAGAATTAAATTATCACTAGAGTCAAAGTATAGGATACTGATTGAGAATTTTCCCTTATTTGAGGTAGGACTAATGTTAATCTTGTACAAAAATTTGTCAATTTTCCAAGTGTGGTTGGCAAGACTGTTAATAGTAATATATTTGTACAATAAAATGTAGGGACTAGGGATATGCAAGCATACACGACCACGTGAGCTCACGTGGCTTGGTCCAGGGCCAGGGGTACAAGTGAAAGTACCTACCAGCACTGATCGGTTTCCCACCTTCTTGTGGTGGACATGGTCCGCCCACGCCCACTACCCAAAACACAGGCGGCCTTATACCGTCGTCCTTTCGTTATTGTGAGATCGTAGCAAGCCCTAGTCATGGGATCCGACAACGTGGCGTAGGCGTTTTGAATCTCCATAAAACCCCTTCCCTCGTCGTCGTCGTCGTCGAATCCCGACATCACGTCCGGGTGATACCGCTTTGCTAACCTACGGTACGCGGCCTTGATCTCAACCGGCGATGCGGTTTCCTTGACACGCAGTATCTGGTACAGGTTGACCGCATCTACCGTTCTTGTCCTTGTGGTGGTGTGCTGCGCCAGGGCACGAATCGGACGATGCTGACATCTGATTCGGAGAACGGTGCCGACGGTAAAAGTTAGGGCTCCGGACATCGATTCTATATGGAAAAAGATATTAGTTTTCTTCTAGGGTTGGTAGGGATAGGGAGGGAGATTAGGATTGAAGAAATGGAAGGGAAGACGGGGTTGTAGGAAAGAGGAAGCGGAGAGTCACGAAATTTATAATGAAGAGTGTGGAGAGAGGAGAAAGGAGTGAGACTTTGCCCGCTGATCGTAGACTGGAGGGCGATGAGAGAGAGAGAGAAGTGGTAGCTGTTGTTGAAGACGTTGACACGTCTGTCTGTCTATGGGAGTAGAATCGTTGGGTAATGGCTAATTAATGGGCCTTCTAGAAGCATTTGTCCAATTCTCCTGCATTCAAGTGGTTGTTATTAAATGAATTTGGGTGGGCCAAAATTTGTTTGTGCTAGATATGGCTTTAAATACAACAGACCGGCCAAAGGATTCATGTAGCCCATCTACTTTTAGTTGTGATAAGGCATGGATGATGATGATGGCAAAAATTTGTTTAGATTAATACGTAATTTATTATTTTTCAGTAATTATAAAGACCCATTATAGTTAGCGATAAATACCCTCTTAACCTTCATTTGCGAAAAGAACCTCGTAACTTTTTCTTTGCAATAAATAATTTATGGCTGTTAAGCTGGAATGCGTTAAATTACCAAAATAATTGAACTTTTCTTATTTTTTTTTTCACTTTCATAGTTTGAAAGAGAACACATATAAATATGTATAGTATAAATACATACAAAATAATACAAAAATACAAGGTTTTGCATTCTATATATTTGCATTTGTACTCCTTTCAAATCGAGCCTTTAGGAAAATTTTCCATTAATACCCTGCTGTACTTTGGGCCTAGTGTTGCTTTTGTCTTTGACCTTTAAAATGCAATAATTCAATATCCGAATTTTCAAAATGTACTGTTAACGAGCCATTAACCAATCGTTAAGTGACATTTGAAAAGACATCCTTCGATTGTTATTTAATTTTCTTTATCAACCATCTAAACGTTGATAAAAGATGAATAATCCCAAATCCTTGTCTCTTTTATTCATGAAAGTTGGGGTCACCAGAATGTCCACTAAGATGTGACCCAAATTTTCTTAAATAAAAGAGAAAAGGATTTGGGACTGTTCATTTTTTATCAACCCTTGGATGGTTGATAAAGAAAATTAGATGACACTTGAAGGGCATTTATGTCTTTTCAAATGCTACTTAACAGTTGGTTAACGATCAGTTTGAAAGTTTGGGTACTGAATTGTCATGTTTTAAAGTTCAAGGACCAAAGCGGCACTAGGTCCAAAGTGTAGGGTACTAATTGACTCAAAACTACTTTCATTGTGAAACCAACTAAAATAACAAGAATCATTTCATTGGCATAGAAAAACAAGTTTCTTTAAATTCTTCTTTGGTTTCACTCATATGAATGTCTCTTCATCTTAGAATATAAAAACTATCCACTCCTTTCTCCAATAAATTGAGAAAAGCCAAACTAAACCTTATATTTATATCTATTAATAGGGGTCGATTCGAGCTGAGCTGAGTTGAATATTTGGCTATTTGAGCTTTGCTCGCTAATAAACTATTAGGTTCGAGCTCGGTTCAAGATAGAGACTTGAGCTTGAGCTTGGCTCTAGTCAAAAGCTTAGAAGTTCGAGCTTGGCTCGGCTGCCTCTARTTGCAAGTCTCCCTCAGCTGCCGAGGTCTTCCTCAACTCTTGAGGTGATGAGCGGAGGCCTCACTCAACTGCTGAGGTGCCAAGCCGATGTCCCCCTTGGCAGTTGAGGTGTTGAGTCGAGGTGACACCCTATTAAATATATACATATGTATATATGTAAAAACTTGATTAAGCTCGCGAGCCTCACAAGCTGAGCTTTGCTAGGTTTAATCTTGGCTCGATGAGCAAACAAACCCATATCTTAATCTTGAATTCGGCTTGAAACTTAATTTAGACTGAAATAAGCTTGAACATCTCATAAAAAACTCAGCTTATGGTCGCCCCTATATTAGAAAGAAGCCTATGCTATTTCATTTGAATATTGAATCCAAATAGGAATTTACATAAATCTATTAGAGCAATCAAATAAATAAAAAATGGTAATTTAAAGATTTTATAAAAATTAAACAGGTGAATGAAAAAATATATATTTTTTTAAAGTTAACTGACGAGGTCTTTGTCGCAAATGAAAGTTGAGGGGACCATACTATAAAATATCTTTGTAATTTATCAATTAGTTTTTACAAGGATTGTCTTTGTCTTTGTTGCGTGTACTGTAGTCGACATAGACGGAGAAGAAAGGTTAGCGCGTGGGATGGCTTCCAGAAAACTAGAACAAATAGCAAACCCATGTATTAGCTGTGGGATGGCTTCTAGAAGACTTAGAACAAACGACAAACCCATGTATTGACAGTTAGCTACACTTGAGAGAATTTAATGCTCTTTGAATTTATTTATTTATGAAAACTGAAAACAGGCGCATGCGGCATGCCTTGCCTCAATTTTGAACTCCAACAAAAATCAGAAATGAGAAACCTTTTACATACGGACATCACCAAAATCTTAAAATCACAATTCCCACTAGTTTCAGGTCCCATTTGGTTTGCAGGATTAAGGGTTCAGAATCGGATTCCAACAGATTGGTTGGGTGAAATCGGAATTTAATTTTCATTCCTGGTGGAATGACATTCCCTTATTTGAAAGAATGGTCATTCCCTCTCTTTCTATGAGATTGAAATTCTATCTTGTTGATTTTAATTTTAATTTTCATTCTGTCTGAACCAAACAGACTATGGGAATAAACCATTCTGATTTCAACGGACCACTAGACTTTTCCAAATATTGTATTATTTATATTTTTCTAATAATCTCTAGTCCAATTGATTGATTTCTTAACAACCCTATAACCTTTACTTCCATTGATTAATTCACATATGGAACCCAATTAGCAATTAGACGACACATGGTATCATGGGGTCCAAACCATGTCCTTTTGCTRCTTCCAGTCTTATCCAGCGTGTCTAAACAAGTGGACAAACTGAGAGGAAGACAACAAGTCATTGCGAGAGGTCTAAAATCTATGAATAGGGATTTATTTGCTCCTCAAAGCGCTTTCACACCAACCTTACAGTACATCCCACCCTATATTAAGAACATCTCTATATGAATAACAACAAATAAAGACGAGAAAGATTTCCAATGTGAGATTGGTGTAAGGAGCGCTAGTTCTGTGAGGAATAGATTGGTACTCAAAGTCTAAATTCTTCAACCTTGGCCTGAGGGAAGGGAAAGTTTCAAACACATCCTTACATTAATTAAGGGGCTAGGCTCAAAAGCAGGCTAATAGTTTGTATGGACATAAAAGTACATAATAGTGGGGTGAATGGGTTTGAATCAGCTACCAAAACATCGTTCCAACAATGTCCCAATCAACAATTACAACCGTATATATCTAGAATCATCTCCCATGATGATAAGGGAGAATTTTCCAATGTGAGACTACAGTGGTCCATTGGTACAGTGTTGTGAGTGTTTTATAGTAGTAGACCCCTACTTGGGTGGATGGGTCTGGTGGATTGACCTAACCTAGCCTAGAATTGGAAGGGTCTTATACACCACCCCAACGGCCCATCCATGATGCATCATATTATCAATTCAACATTTCAACATCTACCTTCGGTCTCACGTCTTTCAATTTGCACGTCCCACGAGAAAAAAGTCTAATGGACCTAATTCAATTATCTATATATATATATATATATTTCATCAATAAATAATGTATAATTATATTTTATATGTAATATATGAAATATGTTATATTCAATTTATGTTTTTAATTCAGTTTTAAAATTTTTATTTGTAAAAAATTATTAAAATTTGTAAATTGAGGCCAAAAAAATTTTTTTTTTTGAAAAAAAAAATGGATCAAGGTGCGTATGGTGTCTTGGGACATATAGATCTGAAATAGTTATCCAAAAAAAAAAAAAACAAAATATCTCAATCTGACATCGGAGTACAAAGTTATGGCCCCATGAAATTTGTATACATAGTTAGTATGCAACTTGCGACCCGATCGCTGGGTTGAACGGGTCAATGATCCAACCATCCAGGTCAGACGGTTTTTGACCAAGTCCACGGTCTTTTAACATTCTCTAGGTTTTACTCAAATTGGACCCAAAATCTTAACTGAAGGGTGGTTCTAACGATTCAACTGATCGGATCAATGGTGGGTTGAAAAGACTGGGTCTAACTATACCAAGCCCAACGTAGCATCATATTTATTGCCTATCCATGCTATGTTCCGAAGGCAAGAATTCATTTATAAATAGGATTGCAAATAAGTTGGATCATATTCGATTGGAATCCGAATTTGATCTGATAAGAGTTAGATTTGGATACCTCCCTTTATCCTAATAAATCGGATCCAATTGAAAAAAGTTGATCTGTTTAGTTAATGGATTGAATTCAGAAATACCCCAATCTGATCCATCACGACCCGATTCAATCTGTTAGTTATGAAATATTATATATTGTATATGTATATTTTATGTATTATTTATATAATTATATATTATAATAAATTATTATATGATATAAATATATTATATTATAAAATTTTTTTATTACAATTCTAATTGAATCGGATATCCGATAAGATATTCAAATTCGAATTCGAATCATACTCTTCAAAATTCGAAGAATTCTTATCGAATCCGGATATGTTGGATTTCTTATTGAATCGGGTCAGATATACCTTCCATCGATCCTCAAATTACATTGTCATAATAGAATAAATATAAAAAAAGAGTGAAAAATACAGCTTAAAAATTAGACTAATCTTTTGTTTTTGCTCCATAAGGCTACACAACGGAGTAGTCCATCGCTATCCCCAAACCCTGGTGCAGGTGCAGGTGGGATTTGATCACAAGCCTCCCCAGCAACCAGCGGAAGGCCTTACTAACCAACCAGTTGGTACCTTCCAAAAATTTAATTAAACTTATTATGACCCCTAAGACACGTAAATTGACATGAACAGACTATCATAAGAAACTTCTGCAAATGACTCAAAATCATAAAATGCAAAAAAAAAGAAAAAAAGAWAAAAAGATAAAAAGAAAAGGAGTGCATTGCCTCCAACAGAAATCATTCAGAAAGTGAATGACATCCAAACAAAGCCTTCAAAAAGGGGTTAAACAGAATGCAATATTGCCAAGTGGACGGCACCGGATGTGGGAATGGGATCTGATCCTCACACATGGGCGCCTCACAAGCACATCCATGCATTGGGGAACATTTTTCATGAATAATAACTTATAAGCATGGTTGTTAAAACCGACTCGGACATTGAACTAGTCAGGGATTCGGTTACTGGGTCAAA